TAAGGATCCCTCCTACTTCCCCAGCCAGCCCCAATATCCTTTATCTACAGCAGCTCTCATTAGCTTAGAGCCAATCATAAAAGACTAATAAGGATACATTAGGCCCACACATTCATCATTCAACACCCCCATACTGGCAGTAAAAAAGCCTAATGGCACTTACCGCCTGGTTCAAGATCTTCACCTCATTAATTCCACTATTAAACCCATCCACCCGCTGGTTCCCAACCCCTATACCCTTTTGTCACAAATTCCTACCGTAACCACCCACTTTTCTGTCATGGACTTAAAGGACTAAACTACTTCCTTTAGCCCTTCTCCTGCAAGCCCTACCTAAGAAGCCCTCATCTCTCTCTCCCTTTGAGGTCATGTATGGACGCCCAATCCTTCTCCGGGCCTTACCCCATCATCTTGGCCCATCCCCAGTCGCTATGCATTACCACTTCTTACTCATCTCCATGCTGAGATCTGGAAACATCAGGACTGGCTTCTTCCAGATCTGGAAGCCTCCCAGATCCCTCTCTCCATGTCACCTGGCCAATCTGCCCTCTTTAATCTGCCAGGAGACAAGGGTCCCCTACTATCGAAGTGGGAAGGTCCAACACAAGTTGTATTATGTATTCCAACTGCACCCAGGCTAGCGCTCCCTAATAACCAATTAACTCCTTGAATTCATATTTCCAGGCTCAAGCCGACCTAGGATTTATCTGCATGCGGCGCAGTCTAAGATCCATCTGTCTCAGGTCGCACTTCTTGAACCCATATTGGAAAATGAACCCCTGGGTTTCTAAGCCGCTCCTTTTCTTAACTCTCATAAGCCTTATTCTTATGGTCTCTTCTTCCCCTTATGTCTGGAGATTTAAGGCTAGACAAACCTATACTGAAAAAAATACTAAAACTACAGCCCTAAACGCAACGGCAGACGGCCCCCGGCATGGTTGCTCTGACACTGAGTACTTATCCTTACCTGCCTCAACAAAACTTATTCAGCAGTCCTCAAGGCCATACCTTTGTTTCCTATATGATCAATGGGATGAATAATGCCGTTGGTGGCCAGAGGTATATGGGGGATGTCCATATTCAGGCCAATTAAACATGGGAATATGCTCCTATGTTAGCCAGATTCAAAAATATAACATCACCATCAAGGACCCATGGGACCCACAATGGGCTGCAGGGGTCACCGCCTTCTTCTATCTCAAGTTTCTCTAGTGTCCTCTGACATTCTGCATTCAGAAGAGGTTATCATATAGGCAATTCGAGACTCCTCTTCCTCTTCTTCACTCACAATGTCTTACTCTTGGCTCCAGATCCTAACAGATACTTAACAAAACATCAGTAAACTTAATGATCTGGCAGCAGGCTTACAGAAGACATCCCAAACCTCTTCTTTTTCCTTCTGGCTCCAGTCACCCCTCTTGACATGGATGTGGCCAATAATGGGACCGCTCTCCATTATTCTGTTGGCCTGCCTCTTTCTCCCTTGTATGATTAAAGTTGCTCAAAATCAGATAGCAAAAATCTCTAACCAATCTTTTAACCAGCTCCTTCTTAGGAATTACCAACTACTGGCCTCAGAAGATCCTGATCAGTCTTCTACCACTCAACTCACGGCCTGCTAAATGGCAGATCCATGGAAAACCTTTTTGGATGCCCTTCACCATGAACACTGAGGAAGATTAGTGGGACGTGATCCAGGACCTATGGTTTCAGGGTACTTTTTTGGACCTGGCCCCATCAGAAGTCTTTAGTTTTTTGGTGCTGCTTTGGGGATTAACCTCAGGGTAATCCAGTGTTCTCCCCGCCCCTTCCTGGCAACGCCCCTGCTCAGCAGGAAGCAGTCAGAACGAACTCCGACCCTACACCCATTATTAAACTAAAAAGGGGAAAATATTGGGTTACCTGCCCCAAGATGGTGCTGACTAGGCTTCTCTTCTGGGTCTGTTTCCCACTTTATGCAGATTAAGGTGCCAATAAGTCACCAATGGGCAACTGACAAAACCATTCTAATGACTGTAATCCAATAAGAATTTGCCTCCTGTCCTAAGGGGCTCCGCCTACCCTGGATAAAAAGCTCTGCTGTACTGGAATAAACGGACTTCTCCTATGGGTAACTCCATGTCTCGGTTTCAGTTCTTTCAGTGATCCTCCTTCCTTAGCCTCCTGGGGCACTGAGATTATAGAAAAGTGCTACTGCACCCAGCTGGAATTTTTTTTTTTTTACACAGGGTAAGATGATGAAGTTTTAGGTTTTGCAGACCAAGAGGCAAAATCAAAGATATTTTGTATGTATGCATATAGCCAATTAAAATACTGCTATTTGAAAAATGAAAAAACATTTCTTAATTCAGAGCTGTGCAAAAACAGATGATGGGCCAGATATGGCCTTGAGACAAAACTTATCAACTTCTGATGCAGATATATAGATAAAATAGATATAGATCATATATGGGAAAACAAGCAATTGTTGAATCCAACTAGGTACAAGGATAATCATTGTACTAGTCTTTCAAATTCTGTCTTTAAAGATTTTTAAAGATAATAATTGGAAGAAAATGAAAATATATAAAAATAATAATGAAAATAAATATGCATAAGGCTAGCATCCAGAGATGAACACCATTAACAGCTCAGTAAATTAGTTTTTAGTTTATGGAGCTTGTGCTTTTTATTCCAAGTCTTATAAGATCCTATTCCATATAAAATTTTATAGCTTGCTATTTCATTTAACATGTAATCCCAGTAACTGGGTTAGTGGGGTAGCCCAGGCAGGAAGATCACAAGTTCAAGGCTAGCCTCAACAACTTAGGGAGGCCCTCAGCAACTTATCAATGATTTAATCCCCAGTACAAAAAAATTGATAATTACTATAAATAAAGCAATTTACTAAATTGTGTATGTGTATATGTGTGTGTGTCTTTGTTTCATACATAATATAGGGAAAAAGGAGAAAAGATAGTAAAAATTGATGGTCAATAATACTAGAAAAGCCAGGTGCAGGGGCACATGCATTTAATCTCAGCAACTGAAGAGGCTAAGGCATGAGGATTACAAGTTTGAGGCTTGTTATAGCAACTTAACAAGATCCTGTCTCAAAAATATAAAAAAGGCTAAGAACGTGATTCAGTAGTAAAGTGTCCCTGGGTTTAATTCCCAATATAAAAAAAAATACTACTAGAAAGTATCCATATCTTAAAGTCCTTGTCCTTGTAAACAGTTACTTGAGAGGATAAAGTAAATAATAGGAATAATGAAGAAATAAAGAAAGTTTTTTGATTGTACTAAAATATGTATAATATAAACTTTGCCATTTTAACCATTTTAATTGTACAGCTCAGTGGCATTCAGTATATTCATAATATTGTGCAACTACCACCACTAACCATTTCCAGAACCTTTTCATAATTCCAAACAGAAACTCCACACACATTAAAAAATAACTCCCCAGTACTCACTCTCCTTAGACCCTGGTAACCTCTGTTCTACTTTTCTTCTCTGAGAATTTGTCTATTCTGAGTATCTCATATAAGCAGAATCATACAGTATTTTTTCTTTCTTTTTCACTTAGTATAACACTTTTCAAGTTTCATCCATGTTGTAACATGTATCAAAATTTTATTCCTTCTTAAAATTCAATAATATTCCAAGTATGTGTACATATCACATTTTGCTTATTCATTGATTTGTCAATGAACACTTAATTTGCTTCACCTTGCAGCCATTGTGAATAATACTGTTCTGATTATGGGTATGCAAATCTCTCTTTGTGACTCTGCTTTCAATTATTTTGAATACATACCTAGAAGTAGAACCGCTGGGTAATATGATAATTCTATGTTCAACATTTTGAGAAAATACCAAACTGTTTTCTGAACAAAGATTTTGATAATATTACATTCTATTAAAGATCTTTTCTCCTCAATGTCTGTTCACTTACTGGTTCATAAGGCCAAACCATGATCTGGCCCTAGTACCTGCCCAGTCTCATCTTCTAGCTGGTTCCTATCCTTCATTTCATTAAGTCATACTGACTGCTTATCCACCTGACTCATGGTCTTTGCATAGAAACTTCTTTCCAGATGCACAGAGCCCACACTTGGTTTGCTCAAGCTTTTACTCCAATGTCACCTCTCGAGAGGCCGGCCTACACTGACTACCCTATCAAGTAATAGTAATTTTCATTTTCTTTCTAGTACTTACCATTACACAATCAATGGTATGGGTATTTGCTTTTTTATGTCTTTCCTAGCTCCAGAAGGGCAGAAATTTTGTCTACAATATTGGTTGCTATAAGCCCTGTAAAGAGTCTCATATTCAGTAATTGTTAATTAAGTATGTGTTAGATGAATACCAGTCTGGGGTCCAACCATGGTAGAGACTAGGCCTTAATTTGCTAGAATAGTAGGTCTCATCCAAAACTTCTTAGATTGATATGTTTGGTATGTTTATTATAGTTGTGGTTATGCTGCATAATAATCCCTTCTATGAATCTACTATGCAGGAGTTATGACACAATCTCTTATGTGTAAGTTATGTGATAACATTTTTTGCTTTTCTAGTTTTTAATTTGAAACTTTTTAAAAAATTTATTAGTTGAAACATTTTTAAACTATGGAAAATATACAAGAACAGTACAACGAATACCACATGACTTCCACCCAACTACACCAATTGTTAATGGTTTTACACATGTGCTTTATATCTCCCTCCCCATAGTCATTATTTGTTATTGTTTTTGAGAATCTTGAGAAAATTGCCCTTAAATTTCTTGTTAAACTATTCAAAAATCTACTAAAGAGCTGACTTTCTCAGGATTTCCAATTTTCAAATCAAATGTCCTCTGAAACATAACTAATCTTGAATAAATCAATTAAATGACACTTGAAAATTGGGCTGGAGTGTAATCAGTAGTAAAATACATGATTAGCAAGAGAAAGGCCCTGAGTTCAATTCCCAGAACTACAAGTAAAAAAGAAAGGAAGAAAAGAAAGAAAAAAAAATGAACAAACCCAAAAGATATTTTTAATAATAATGTCAAATTAACTTTTTGCCAATTAAAATTAACTTCATGTATTGGGATTTAGAGTTAATAGTTCCCTAATAGTTCCCTAAAGGTATGTACTTTTATCTTATAAAGACTCAAATGCAGAGAAAGAATTCAGCTCCAAACACGTTTTGTCAAAATGAGTATATATGTTTGAGTGTTATATCACACCTTCTTGTAATTTCTCTTTGTATAGATTTTGTTCTCCCTCTGTCTTCATTGCAGCTTTGTGGGAAAATTCACCAAGTCTCTGAAATAAAGAGATAGAGGCTTTTAATGTTTTTCTTTTGCTCTACTGCCATCTCATGGACATAAAAGAGAATTCTGAGCTCAGTAAAAACAAAATTTGCTTGTTTATCTTGGGACATAGCATATTTTACTATAAAATAAACTCTTGGAAACTTACACCTATCATAGTCTTATTTCTTTGCTATGGATTAAGTAAAATTCTTAGCAAAATCATACTTCAAAAAATCCACCATACACGTATTTCACATTGTCCTGAAAACAATACAGGCATTAAGGCTTGGTTTTGTTAGTGACCTTTTGGTCCATTTGGCCTCACAAAGGGGGCCTCCATTTTCCCTTTCTATACAGTCATGTCTTCAGATCTTTGGCAAGGTTATATTCCTTCTTTCAAGTGTGGCAAGTTGGGAGCAGGGAGAAGAAACAAGAGAGAGAAAGTCAAAAGAAAGAGGAAGAGAATGAGATGGGGTATAGATGATAAGGGCAAAAAGACACTAAAGAAATTAAACAGTGGGATGAGAGAAAGAAAGTAGAGAGGGAAAGCCATATAATGCTAGAGTAAGAGACTGGGATATGGTTTGAATATGTTCCTCAAAGTCTCATGTAATGAAAGATGATCTCTGGTATGGCAACATTGAGAGGTGGTGGGAACTTTTAAGAGGTGGGACCTCATGGGAGTTTGTTAGGTCATCATCCTTAGAAGATATTAACATAGTTCTCACAAAAGACCAGTTTTTGTGAGATTATCATTATAAAAGTTATTATAAAAAGGATAAATCTGACCCCAAAATCTCTGATTTCCTATCTTTCCATGTAATCTCTTGTGCTTACAGAAGGTTCCCTTTTCCTTTCTCTACAATGTTGTGACATAGCTAGGAGGTCCTTGCCAAGAGACTGGCACCATGCTGTTTGGACCCTCCAGCCACCAGAACTGTGAGCTAAATAAACCTCCTTTATTTACAAGTAACACAGTCTCAGTGATTTTTTTCTGTAATAGAAAATAGACTAATACAGCTGGGCATGTTGGTTCATGCCTATAATCCCAGTGTTTCCAGAGGCTGAGGCAGGGGATTGCAAGTTCAAAGCCAGCCTCAGCAACTTAGCAAGATCCTGTCTCAAAATAAAAAATTTAAAAGTACCTCTGTGTTCAGTCCCCAATACACACACACACAACAAAAAAAAAAAAAAAAAAAAAAAACTAATTCAGAGACTCAAGAAGGTATAATGACAATGAAATACAAGGGACGGACTGGGGGTGCAGCTCAGTAGTAGCATGTTTGTGAGGCCCTAGGTTTAAGTAAGAAGGAAGGAAGGAAGCAAAGAAAGAAAGAAAGGGAGAGAGAGCGCAAAAGAAAGAAAAATTATAAAGAAATCATTTGAGGAAGGAAGGAAGGGCAAATATCAATTAATAGAAGAAACAAGGTAAAAAGAAGGAAAAGAAAGAAATGGAGAGAACAAAGGGGTGGGCTTGTCACTTGTTGTTCGTTTTTTAACCTCAAGAGGGACACCTGGCCAGATCTATGCACTTGCATCTTGAGCAGTTTAGAAACCTTCAATGGTCCCTAACCCCACATCCCATTCCCCCAACACCCAGAGTTGCACACGTGTGCAGTGGTCCTGATGTCCCCTACCCTGCTCTGTTCATTCCCCAGTACTCATCATCTCCTTTCCTACCATCTAATTGGCTTATTTGTTAAGCTTTCTATTCATTGCTGGATTTTCCCTATCCCTGCTGGAATGCAACCTACAGAAAGGCAAAAATTTTTATCTTTTAGTCTTTCCTGATTTGTTTGTTTGTTTTTACAGGGATTCAATCCAGCAGTGCTTAACCACTTGGGCCACATCCCCAGCCTTTTTTATGTTTTGAGACAGGCTTTCTCTAAGTTGCCAAGGCTGGCTTTGAACTTGCTATCCACCTGCCTCAGCCTCCCTTGTCACTGGGATTATAGGCATTGCACCACACACCTAGTTCTTTCCCGTTTTGTTCACTGAATTTACCCCCACTTGAACAGAGTAAAGTCTGGCATACATATGACAAGCACTTAATAAATATTTATGAAATAAATGAACAAAAGGAATAAATGAAGAGAATGTATATTTGCATAATTTCCTTTGCTCTGTGACTGATACCTTTTCCCAAAGGCAGAACACATTTTCATTCACAGGCTTCATATTTCATTCACAGTAAAAGATCACATTCATGACCTTTGGTATTTTGTTGTTGTTGTTTGTATCCTAAGGAGAAGGGCAATGTTGCTTCCTTTCTTTTACTACCATTTCACTCAAATAAACATTGATTCTGTTTATCAAAAACAGAGAAACCATATATGTGTATATATATATATATATATATATATAATATATATATAGTATGACTAGATATTACACAATACCGTACATCAAAAATAGATATTTTGCTAGGAACCATGTAATGATAGAATAGAATAACTCTTTAGAAACAATAAAGCAAACTAGACAAGATATAGATTCTCAGTTCAAGCTAAATCTTGGAAATAATGTTATAAAGCAATAATACCAAATTTTAAAAGGTTGTTTTTCCTTCTATCTAGTGACAGCCTTATTTGTTTTGTGGGGCTAGGAATTTAACCAAGGGACTTGCACATAATAAGCATGCACTCTACCATTGGGCTACATCCCCAGCCAAATAACTATAATAAATTTCTCCTTTCCCTACATTTTACTCCTTGTAAATTATTATAGATATCTTCTTAGATTCCCAATTCCTGATTCAGATAAAGTAATCACTATGAATTTCTGAATCCTGAACCTTGTATAAACAAAAAAAATTATAAAGAACTAATTTTAAAAATTATGTTAAGAATGGATTTCATCCTAGGGATGCAAGGTTATTTCAACATATGCAAATCAACATAATTTACCACAAAATAATAATTGGAAGAATCACATTATCATCTCAATAGATACAGAAAAAGCATTAGAAGAATTAAGTATAGCACCCATTCATGTTTAAAACTAGAGAAAATAGGGATAGAAAAAACTTACCTCAACATTTTAGGACTACATATAACAAACACAAAGCTAACATCATTCTGAACAAAGAAAAAACTTAAAGCATTTCTTCTAAAACAGGAACAAGACAAGAATATCCATTCTCACCACTCCTATTCAACATAATCCTTAAAACTCTAGCCAGAATGATCAGACAAGAGAAGGAAATTAAAGGGATATAAATAGGAAAATAAGATGACAAATTATCAATTTGCTGATGAGATGATCCCATTATTTAGAAGACCCAAAAAAACTCCACCAGAAGTCTTCTTAAGCTGACAAACAAAGTAGCAGGGTACAAGATAAATATATAAATCGTTTCCCTATACTCCAATAAATCTGCTGAAAAATAAATTAACACTGAAGAAAGAAATTGAAGAAGACATTAGAAGATGGAAAGATATCCCATGTTCTTAGATAGGCAGGATTATTAATACTGCATGACCATCAAAATGGTCATACTAACAAAAACATTATGAAGATTCAATGCAGTTCCCATCAAAATACCAATGACATTTCTTACAGAACTAGAAAAAATAATCTGATTTGGTGGTGCATGCCTGTAACCTCCCGAATTCAGGAGGCTGAGGCAGAAGGATCACAAGTTCAAGATGAGCCTCAGCAACTTAGCAAGACCCTCAGCAACTAGTAAGATACTGTCTCAGGGGAATTAAGGGAAGGGAGGGAGGACAGATGGTGAAATTATTCGGACCTAACTTTCCTATGTACATATATGAATACACCACAGTTCGAATCATTACTCTAAGTACATGTATGATTGCACTAATGCTGTGACTCTACTTCATGTACAACCAGAGAAGTAAAACTTTCTGCTCCATTTTTGTACAATGAATCAAAGAGATTTCTACTATCATGTATAACTAATGAGAACTAATTTTAAAAAAATTAAATTAATACACTATAATGAATTCCTTCATCATGTACAAGCACAAGACTGGGATCCTGATTAGAATAAGATGGACTCCATGTTTGTATAAATAAGTCAAATTATACTCTACTGTCATGTATAACTTTAAGAACAAAAATTTTTTAAAAATTTAAAAAAGAATGACCCCCCATACACACAGTCTCAAAATACAACTCAAAAAAGAGCTGGGTTTGTAACTTAGTGATAGAACGCCTTTGTTCAATCCTCACTACTGAAAAGAACTAGAAGAAACAGTTCTAAAATTCATTAGAAAGGATAGGAGACCCAGAATAGCCAAAGCAATCCTGAGCAAGAGCAATGCTGGAGGCATCATAATATCATATTTCAAATTATACTAGAGTTATAGTAATAAAAAAGCATAGTATTGGCACCAAAACAGACACGAAGATCAATGAAAGATAATAGAAGACACAGAGACAAATACACATAGATACAGTCATCTCATACTTGACAAAATTGCCAAAAACATACCCTGAAGAAAAGATAGTCTTTTGAACAAATGGAGAGCCATATGTAGAAAAATGAAACTGGATCAAAGCGGATCAAAGACCTAAGAAGTAGATCAGAAACTCTGCCACTGCTAGAAGAAAACGTGTTGGCTCAACACTCCAACACACAGGCCCAGGCAACAACTTTCTCAATAGGATCCCTAAAGTTCAGGAAATTGTACCAAGAATTAATAAATGTATATCCATAATGTACTAATTTTTTTAAAAAACTGTATAGAAGAAAAGTCTGCAGTGTAAAGGAAAGGGAACAAAGCAAGGGAGGAGAGAAGAAAAAGGAAAGTACTGGGGATTGAATTAGAGCAACTTATATTTTATACTTGTAAAATTATGTCAAAATGAGGGCTGAGGTTGTAGCTCAGTGGGAGAACACTTACCTAGCAGGTGTGAGGCACTGGGTTCAATTCTCAGCACAGAATATAAATAAATGAATAAAGTAAAGAGGTCCATCAACAACTGAAAAAAAAACGTTTAAAAAATGAACCACAATGTTATGTATAACTATAAGGCACTAATGAAAAATATTTTTAAAGAAAACTGCATTTTCAAAAATTACTTATGAAAAAAAATTATTTATGAAGCTAGGCATGTTGACACATACCTGTAATCCCAGTGACTTAGAAGCCTGAGGCAGAATGCAGCAGGATGATCCTAAATTCAAAGGCTAGCTTCAGCAACTCATGAGACTCAGCAATTTAGGGATACTCTGTTTCAAAATAAAACAATAAAATAGGCTGAAGGGTGTAGCTCAGTGGTAAAGTGCTACAGGGTTCAAAAGAAAAATAATTACTTAAGAACAAGAAGATTACATGAGAATCTACTGAAATATTTTAAAAAGGAACAGAGAAGCAAGAAGTGATGGCACACACTTATAATCCCAGCACTAGGGAGGCTAAGGTAGGAAGATGGCAAGTTCAAGGTTAGCCTGGGCAACAAAAAGACCTTGTCTCATAATAAAAAGGCCTAAAGGAGTAGCTCATTTATAGAGCACCTGCACTCCAAAAAAAGGAAAAGGAAAAGAAAAAATGGGGGGTTGACATAGAAAAGTTTAAAGAAGACAGTTTCTCAAGTATCTACACCTTCTTTACCTTATTTGGTACTCCAAATATTCTTTTGGCATAGGTGAAACCAAGTAGTATCCTTAGCTGCACTGTTTTTTGGTGGAAAACTGGATTCATACTTTCCCCTGCCCTTCTCAGCCTCCCCCTGCCATGGAAATGAGAGATGAGCCAGTTCAGGACTTTGGGTCTCTTCTCATCTTCCACCAGACCATCATGGAATCTGAAATAAATCCTAGAGGGTAAATGGAGCAAAGGTTGAAGATCTCAACTGGGAGCCTCTGAAAGGTTTGATAGAACACAGTTTGGTCTATAAGCAAATTAAGTAAACTCTCGATTTTATATTATGTACTTGTAAAATGGTCACATAATTCTATGTGATTTTTTAAAAATTTTTTTAGTTGTCAATGAACCTTTATTTTAATTTACATATAATGCTGAGAATCAAACCCAGTACCTCACAAGTGCTAAGCAAGTGATCTATCACTGAGCGACAATCCCAGACCCTCTATGTGATCTTTAAGGTAAAGGATTCCAGATGATAAGACCCTAGATCAGTTTGAAACTGACTTTAATTTTGGAGATGAATGGTCTTGCCAACTCTTTTTTATTTGAAATACGTTAAAGAAAATAAGTATGACTATTCACTCACTCTTTCTCCCACCCTGGTTCCAATCAGTAAAGAAATAACACACAGAGACAGATGTAGTGGCACATGCTTATAATTCCAGCAACTCAGAAGGCTGAGGCAGGAGGATCACAATCACAAGTTCAAGGCCAACTTCAGCAATTTGCAATATCCTGTCTCAAAATAAAAAGGGTTAGGGATGTAGCTCTCTGGTAAATGCCCCAAAGTTTAATTCCCAGTACCAAATGTAAGTGGAGAGAGAGCCAAACAACCCATTTCTAAGAAAAGTAATTCACCCCTGAAAAAGGCATTAAACCCTCCCAAGGGTAGTACCCCTAATACTTAACCATCTTCTACTAGGCCCCACCTCTTAAATGTTCCACCACCTCGATACCACCACATTGGGGATCAAGATTACATGACATGAAATCCTTGGGGATACACTCAAACCATACCCAAATCAAAACAATGAGTGTTTCAGATGGAGGGTTGTGGATCCCAGTGGCACTTGAGGTATTTTCAGGAACAAGCCAGTGGTCAAAGGTACAATCCACATTCAAGTTTCCAATAGAATGGATCCTAAAGGAGGAACTATTGAAACGGTACCTAATGACTGAACAGATAGGCCTTAATTTTTGTTTGCTATACCTGTTTCTCAGCTGTGGCAGAAAATGTATCACGTTTTCATATACTACCCAACCCTGTATCCAAGAAGATGCTAGAACTTCCAAACAATCTTAATATAATATCAAAACTATCTGTGCAAATGTACCACCTGACACACTGAAGACCTAGTCCAAATTCCTTAGAGAACAATTAATCATATATTAGAATATTATTCAGCCTTAAATAGGAAAGAAATTCTGACACATGCTACAACATGGCTGAATCTTGAGGACAATATCTTTTTTTTTTTTTTTTTGGGTACCAGGGATTGAACTCAGGGCCACATCCTTAGCCCTTTTTTTGTATTTTACTTAGAGAAAGGGTCTCACTGAGTTGCTTAGTGCCTTGCTAAGTTGCTGAGGCTGGCTTTGAACTCGGATCCTCCTATCTCAGCCTCCCGAGCCGCTGGGATTACAGGCATGTGACATGGCACCCAGCTTGAGGACTATAAGCCAGTCACAAAAAGATAGATATTACATGATTCCACTTATATGAGTTGCTTAGAGTAGCACATTCATAAAGACCTACAGAAGAATGGGTGTTGACAGGAGCTGAGGGATAAGGGAATGGGGAGCTGCTGTTTAATAAATATATAGAGTTTCAGTTTTGGAAGATGGAAAAAGTTCTGGAGATACATGATAATGATAATTATACAACAATGTAAATGTACTTAAGCCACTGAAACATGCACTTAAAAATGGTTAAGATGGTAAATTTAATATTAGTATATTTTAATCACAATTTTAAACTTTTCTCTTTAATAAAAAATAAAGATTCTTGTGGGGCGCAGTAGTGCATGCCTGTAATCCCAGCTGATACAGGAGGATCTCGAGTTCAAAGCCAGCCTCAGCAACTTTGCAAGGTACTAAGCAACTCAGTGAGACCCTGTCTCTAAATAAAATACAAAATAGGGCTAGGGATGTGGCTCAGTGATTGAGTGCCCCTGAGTTCAATTCCCAGTATGTATAAATAAATAAATAACTCTCCTATGTTCCACGGAGGAAGAGGTCCACAGAGGACCTCCCTCCAGACCTACACTGGGAGGAGAGCTTTCACTCTACATTTTTGCCATCTCAAAGGAAGAGAAACACCTCTTCTGATTGGTGATGGTTGATGTTAAGAGTGTATAGTTCGCTGGTGATCAAGGTCCTAGAGTTAGAGTTCACTGTACCTGTCCTTATCTTTGTTAGGTAAGCAGACTATGCTAGGAAATCAGCAAATCAAAAATTCTCTTTCAGTTCCACCTCCTCTGCCTGTGTCTGGTATGAGTCAGATCATCCTCATGGGATGGACCTGACTGAATTTGGTTTCGAATTTTCAGAAATAGGAAGTTCCTTCTGGCCTGGAAACCGAAAGCTTTTCTCATCTCAGTTTCACAAGAGCTGGCCTGAATTTAGGGTTCTACTGGGGGAAAAGAATGTATCAATCCCCTTCTGGATGGGATCTTTTTTTTAAAATTTATCTGTTCTAATTTGTTATACATGTCAGCAGAATGCATTTTGATTCATAGTACACTAATGGAGCACAATTTTTCAATTCTCTGGTTGTACACAAAGTAGCCACGCCATTTGTCTCTTCATACGTGTCACCTAGGGTAATAATGTCCATCTCATTCTACCATCTTTCCTATCCCTGTGCCCTCTCCCTTCCCCTCCCTCCCTTTTGCCCTATCCAAAGTTCCTTCATTCCTCCCCCCACCCACCAATTATGGATCAGCATCCACTTATCAGAGAAAACATTTGGCCTTTGGTTTTTTGGGATTGGCTTACTTCACTTAGCATGATATTCTCCAACTCCATCCATTTTCCTGCTAATGCCATAATTTCATTCTCTTTTAATGCTGAGTAATATTCCATTGTGTATATATACCACAGTTTCTTTATCCATTCATCTATTGAAGGGCATCTAGGTGGTTTCCACAATTTAGCTATTATGAATTGTACTGCTATAAACACTGATGTGGCTGCATCACTGTAGTATGCTGTTTTATGTCCCTTTGGGTATAAACCAAGCTGTAGGGGATCTTGAGCCTGTCCTCTACTGGCAGAAAGTGGGCAGAAACAAAAGAGTAGAGCATACAAGCTTCATTCCCTGAATCATTATGAAATTACCTTCTAAAAATAAGAAAAGTAGGACAAACATTCAAAAACAAAATCTTTTCAATTGAACACATTTCACTTTATAAATCTGGTACCTTTCCAGGCGTGACAACACATGTCTGTAATCCTTGCCACACAGAAGGCTGAGGCAGGAGGATCACAAGTTTAAGGACAGCCTCAGCAACTTAACGAGGCCCTGTCTCAAAATAAAAAATAAAAGGGCTAGGGATATAACTCATTGACTGCCCCTGAGTTTTATTCCCATGCTGGGGGTGGTGAGGGACTTGCTACCTTCTTACTTTGTCTTTCAGTTTGTCCAAATTAAGGATAATTTCCTAATCATCACAAGTCTATAAAGCTGCATTTGATATTTGACAGCATTCTTCTGAAGCACTTTTTTAACTCTAAAATTCTATAATATGATACTCTCCCTTTATCCACAAAGGATATATTCCAAAACCTCCAGTGGATACCTAAAATCATGGATGTACTAAACACTATACTAGCTATGTTTTTTCTATATATATATATACCTATTATAAAGTTTAACATAAATTAAGCTCAGTAAGAGATTAATGCTAACAACAGAACAATAACAACAATGTACTATAATAAAAGTCGTGGGAATATGGTCCCTTTCTCAAAATGTTATTGTGGCCAGGTGCAGTGGCACACACCTGTAATCCCAGCGGCTCAGGAGGATCATGAGTTCAAAGCCAGCTCAGCAAAAGTGAGGTACTAAGCAAACAGTGAGACTCTGTCTCTAAATAAAATACAAAATAGGGTTGGGGATGTGGCTCAGTGGTTCAGTGCCCCTGAGTTCAATCCCCAGTACTAAAACACATATATTATTGTGCTACACTACTTAACCTTGTGATGTGTGATGATATATTGCTTTCACAATAAGATGGTGAGTGGTATAGGCATTGGTTATAGAGCACCATGTTACTAACAAGCTTTTGACAATATAAGATGAAGCATCTTTTTTTTTTTTTTTTTTTTTTTGTGGTACCGGAGATTGTACCCAGTTTAGTGGTAGAGAGGTGTTCTACCACTAAACTTTACAGCCCAGCCCTTTTTATTTTTATTTTGAGACAAGGTCATACTAAGTTGCCCAGGATGGCCTCAAATTTGCGATCCTCTTGCCTCAATGTCCTAGATCAGTGTGAATACAGGCATGTACTATCATAACAGACCAGAAAACCATTAAGCCATATGATTCCTGTTAACTGCAGATAATAGAAACCACAGAAAGACAATCACAGACAAGGGGGACTACTGTATTGCTTCACCATGCTTCCCATAACCTCAGGAAATGGAGGAGATAACAGAAGACTAGAGTGGAAACCAAGGCTTAGTGCCTATAGTCAGCTTTCCTGAGGTAGCCAACTTACCAAGAGAAAAGTTTTAATTTGTCTCAAGGTCTTGGGAGGTTTCATTCCATGGTTGATCTGTCCTGGTTTTTTTTGTTTTTTGGTTTTTGTTTACCTTTGTTTTGTCCTGTGGAGTCACAATACCGTGGAGTAAATGGCAGAGCAAAACCATTCATCTCAAGGTCAAGAAGCAAAAGAAAGAGATAGAAACCAGGGTCCCACCAACCCCTTTCAAGAGCACACCTTTGATGACCCACAAACCTCCCACTAGGCCCTATCTTAAAGCTACCACCACCTTCCAAGAGCACCAAGGTAAGGATCACAGCTCTAAAATATGGGCCTTTGATTCAACACAGAAACCAAAGCAGTACTTTATAGACTACTTTGACAAAGATATACTTGACAAATTAAAAGATACACATATAGCCTACTATACTCTGGATCTGCAATGTTCCCCCAAAGCCCAAGT